TTATCTCAATAAGATTGTTTGATTTTTGAATGTTAGCCATTGGTGATTTTTTTGCATAATTACTGTAATTAGGCCTCGAGACAACATTGTTAGAACATTACTGTTCATTTATAGTTAAAAATATGGTGCTCCCCAGTTATTTGTACCAAGATGGCGCACAACCTGAACATAGTATGTGTACCTTGTTAGGGATCAGGTTTCGCGTCATCTTGGTACAAATACGTCCGGATCGCCGAAAATATATGTTGTTTGGGTAGTTCTGCAGTAATTTTGTGAGGCTTTTTGATACTCTGAGAAAGGCACAAGGCATGTAGGCTGGGTTTAAAGCTTTACTTTTACAATAACATGCATACATTAGCAAAGTATTGATTGATTAGCTGGACATACTGGCCAGTCTTGGTCACAAACTTAGAAATGTAATTACCAGTGTTAAAAATATTTGGCTATTGTAAACTGTACACATGTACCACAACTTCCATTAACAATAACAATAGTTTCATGGTAATAACATAGGATAATTTCAAATGATTCTGTGAATTCCCAAGTATTTTTCAAGAACACTCAAAAATCACTTTTCCGAGTAGTAAACTCTTTGTTCCAACATTACCATATTTATGAATTCTTGAATCCTCATTGATTTTGTTCTGTAAACTAAATATACGACTTTCATCTTCGTATGATTTCTGATGGTATTGTAAGGCATTCGCCCTCAATACTACCGGCTTACATGTGTGTTAAAACAGAAATACTATGCTATTTTTTTTTTTAAAGGATAATTCACTTTTGATGAAGTTTGTTCTCGTACCACGAGAGGGATGAGTGTCATCAGATTATTCCATCAGCTACGTTCAACTGATGTAAGTTTGTTCTGATGTAAATCTTGTATTTACTGCCTTGTTGACGTGTGAGAAAAATGTTTTCAGACAGAGAGGTAAAAATTGTTACTACAATCGAACCGGGGGCATACTGCCTATATTTTAATTTTCTTGAGTCCGTATATAACTATATGTTATATTAATTAGTTAGCATATCACATTCTTTTTCAGAAATTCAGTCAACGTGAAGGATGAATGGGTAGTGGCTTTACTGTCGCCTCTTGGTGTCAGTAGAGAATGGAGCCTTAAGGCAGCTCCATCCCTCCACCAGCCTGGGGGCTCACCTTGGGTAAGTGACAGTACCCCCTAAACCTCCCTTACTGGGGTAACAAGTAACTTTCTTACATATAACTTTATCAATTTCTTTTTTAATCGGATATTTTGACTTTTCATTAGTGTACTACAGCATCAAATTATACCATTAGATTTGCTAAACGACATGCTCTGATAAAAAATCGTCAGGTTTTGGTTACATATATATGTATATATATATAAGTCTATATAGGCAATGTGTGATATTGTGATGAACATTATATGTACCTTATCAAGTATAGCTTATTTGTATATAGGATGATAAAATCTCACCCTTTCTACGTGGATACATGGACTTCAAATTTTTTGGATCCGAAATATGTTTATTTTCATTGCACTCTAGGCAAAACATTTTAAATTCGCAAGACTTTGTAACACATATATATGTATTTGTGTATGTTTCATATACATTAGTTAAAACTGGTTTTTTCTATTTAAAATGTCTACGATTAGGTTTACTCATTTTGTATCGAAAATGTATTAACGACTTTTATATGAATAAATCTCAAACTTTAAGAATATTTTGTTTCCTTCTTGTACGTCGACGGAATGATATATATATGGGAAATACGTTCTTTTCGGCAATGGACAACGCATAATTTAAAAAATTTTGTTCCCGACGACTCAAGTTGTATTGTGTAGATTTTATAAATCTTCTTAATATCAATCAATAAAATCTCGCCCCGCTTGGGCGGAAAGACATGTGAGCAATGTTTGAAAAGTGAATAGTTTTACGATTTTTCACCTATTCCGATATATGCAAAATGGGCTCTTTTTAGCAATGGATTACGCATGATTATAAAATTTTGTTCCCGACGACTTAAGTTGTATTTATCGAGTTTAAGAACCTTATCAATATTAAATAATGAAATTTTGTCATGGCGGTAATACATGCGACTAAGATTTCGAAACTGTAAAATTTTTCGTTTTTTGAACTATTCCGATGTGTGCGAAATAAGTTATACGTAATGGATTAGGCATGAATACAGAATCGAATTGAATTGTATTGTGTAAAATGTATTACTTAATTAACATGAAATAATAAAATCGCACTCATCTTCATTGGCAAATATAATTCTGCATTAAAATTTTCATAATTTTTTTTCGATTTGAGGTACCTCTTGAATATTAGTGGACACAATTGCACATCATTTCCGAATACCATCATTTCTTGACTAAAAACAGTATCTAGCCCCCCTAAGCGGACAATTTTTGATGTTGATCATTGAAATTTCTAACTTACGGTATTTTATAATATAGCCTACCACATGAAATAAAATATACTGACATCTGAGCAGTATATGATTTACTATGAAATTCATGTACAACTTCTTGAATTGCCAATCTGTTTGGCATTTTCAACGGTATTTTTCCCTGGGGTAAACTCCTTTGACTACGTAATATTAAGAACATACTTGCTCTGAACTTATTTTTTTACCCGGGTTAATATTTTTTACAGCGTTCTTGGGAAAATCAGTATATTCCTTGAAAATGATATACCTAAGTTACCGTAAAATGTACTTGAATTTACTGCTTATCGGCATGTATTTAGATCGTATCTAAAATTCGAGAGAATTTCACCGTGTTGAATTCTGGACCCGCCCATGTCTCACACCACCACCCTCCACTGAGCACAAATGAGAGATTTAACGCAACACTGCACAGGATTGGAAGAAGGCATGTGAGTCACTTCACAGTGGTAAGTAGCTATGCCAGTGCACAGAAATATTTTATCTTTATATAGGCTATGCAAGCATTTATCATTATAAGTTTCATTTAGACTATCACAACTTGGGTCTGGTATAGTTTAGTACCACATCCACTTCTAGTTGGCCTGGCTCAACAATTTTTGCATATGTCAATCCTAACCCCCATCTGACTACGTCACCGAAAAATTACGTCATTCCGACGTCACAGTGGCGTTATAAGGCCCACCGAAGTATGCGGATGTTCGTCCAAAACGCGCATACGATAACCCGAAATCGAGCAAGCTATTTCTCTCGTTGCAACGATCACGATAGGAGAGAGATCGCCGGCTTTAGCAAGTTCTTATCGTCGGCGCAGATGCCATTTCGGGCGATCGTAATTATACTTTGGCAATCCCTAGGACGTGATGGTGACGTCGTAGTGATGTAATTTTTGGATGGCATAGTCAGGTGAGGGTTAGGAATAACATATGCAAAAATCGTTATGCTACCCCCACTGGAAGTACTTGTGGTACTAAACTATACTAGACCCCACAACTTCAACATTGCTTTTTGTCAGGGTTTCCCAAACTGTTTTCCGGATATGAGAAGAGTTTGATCGATCTTTAATCGTTGATTCTAATCAAAAAGCCATCGCATTTTTCATTGAGCATTGGGGAAGAATATCCATTGCTGTCAGAAAAGGCAATTGGGCCTAGAATTTTATTGCCTCCCGCAACACTTACGGTACATGTGACTGCTGGACTGTGTGAGGCAGCAGTTTCAGCTCTTACCAGTATGATGACAAAATACAGGTCAAGTCAAGACTTGTCGTAGATTGATAAATTGTGCAGTGAAAAGCAACCCCATTCACCATATTAATGTTGTTTGTGTTGTAAAGATGGGGTCTGTCAAAACTAAAATTCACAAACAACCGAACAAGGGTCCGTGGCCCAAAAAGTTTGCTCAATGTAATTCAAGAATCCTACTGCACACTAACACAAATTTATTTCTGTAATTTTTTGTATGACCTGTCTGCCTGTAGTTCAAATATAGTGATGCATAAATTTGTTTGAAATCTCAAATCAACTGTGACAAAGCAATAAATAAACTTCTAATTTAAATGCCATTACAATAATGATGTAAAAAGTAGAACCATATTCATCTGTCAAGCATATTACAAATGTGACAGGAAAGGCGATTGTATGCACACAAATAATAGTTATCAAATCATAATCAAAATTACGGACGCTTGCAGAACATTACTGCATTAAGCAAGTGAAGATAAAATAAGATTTGCATATTTATTCTGGTGACAGGGAAAATCTGAAAGTCGACGAGAGATGGCTTAATCATATGGCGAACTATGGCCTCTCGTCCAGTGCCAGTCCATGTCGGGTATGAGTTTAGTTAGCTAGTATTTGTTTCATCTTAGTTATTGAAAAACATTTTGAAAGCAAGTGAGAGTTAAAGAATCTCCATTAAATTGTGATCTTACATTTAATTTTAAACATAAAATAAAAAATATTTAATAATGGAATAAATCATCAATCTACCCATTAGACAATTTATTTCTAAAGGTTCCAACATTCCAAATTTGTAATAATAATGGAATGGGTTTGATGGTATGCTTGGTCTCTAAACAGTTTCTCTATGCCAAATGCTGAAAAGTTGTTGATTGGAGTGTGCTCCGACCATGAGATACATGTTCTTCTTCTTGATACTCATGGGTAGTTACGTTATTCAGTATTTTTATTAATCTTTCTGTCACTCCTATGTTTCCGAAAACAAATAACTGGCTAATTAATCCCATACCCGACCTTGACTGGTAAACGGAGGAGAGGCGGTGGTTCACCATATGAAAAAGCCGTCTTAATAACTTTCCTCTCCCTGGAATAAATATGTAAACCCCACCCTATATTGCACTGGTGGTGCATGATTTTCTGTTGCATTTGTTAGAACCTGATTATACTTTTATCTGGGTGTTTCTGGTTTTAGTTTAGCTCTGTCTCCTCATGTCCAGCATTTTCTGTAAGCAATTCTTTGGAGGTAGAGGGAAAATCTTTCAGTCGTTCATCATTTTCTCCCTATGTATGTTTCAGGCAATATCATTATCAACAGTGAATTATTGAACTATATCTTCTTTTATTGTGTTATCATTTAGAACTTAACTACATAATTAAAATTAAATGTCATCAGAGGAGGCCACCAGTTCCTTGTTCGAGTTTTTACATAGTGAGATAATAGAATATGTTTATTCATCTTCTGAAGATGTAGCAAGTGACAAATGCATTTCCCAGCTTGAATCAATGGGATATAGAGTCGGTCAAAGCATTGCTGAACAATTAACAAGAGACAGTCAACGTTTTAAAGATGAATTGGATATTATGAAGTTTATATGTCGGGATTTCTGGACTGCATTTTATAAAAAGCAAGTGAATAATTTAAGAACCAACCATCAAGGTGTTTTCGTCCTTCAAGATAACAAATTTAGGCTTTTAACAAGAATGTCGACTGGAAAAGAATTTATCGAACACGCTCCAAAATATCTTGCATTTCCATGTGGGCTGGTCAGAGGAGCGCTTGCAAGTCTGGGAATAAACAGTATTGTGACAGCTGAGGTTGTTGTAATGCCGGCTGTTAAGTTCCAAATCATGGTCCAAAAAAATTAAATATTATCTATCAGTTACGTTTCAAATTTGACTCTGCAAAGCAACTCTGCTTTGCACAGTGTGTGCCACTGAATATGCAATCAAAATGAATCATGTGTTCGCTCATTAATTTTGATTAGAATGATGATAGTTGATCAATTTTGGATTCAAATTTCTGGCAGACAAATCCTACTTTTTATGACTTCTCTGCATTGCACAATGAATATTCGAGTCAAGATCAATGAAATATACATAAGAGATGAATAATTGGTTCATTACGTGAACAATATAAATTCTATTTTATGTATATGCTGGGTATATAAGATAATAATTTATGAGAACTCCACTATGGTACAAAAGATTACAACACACACGATAATCACATGGGTAGGGATTTCGCTTGGGTTGCCAAGATTTGAATCATGAGACATAAATTACTACATGGGCAAAATCATCTTGTGAATATGAGTGAAAAAACACCATGGAAACTATCTGATCTGGCTTTAAGCTTGTAACATGAAGAGAAAAATCTTCCTTGAATCAGACTTGTGCCATCATTATCTGTGGCCTGCATCAGGGTTGCCAGATCCCTGTGATCAAAAAGCGAACACAAGACAGTGATAAAGCCAACAATTTTATCAAGTACCAAAAGCCCTGTGATTTGTCAGATTTAAAAAGCTTGGCACAATAGTGGGTTTGCAATATACAATATGATTTAGAACCATCCTTTAATTTAGTGAGCCACACCGACGGTTTTTTCAATTGAAAGTTGTTGCTATCATGATGATTTCCACTTCAGCATACTAAAGGGTTTAAAAATAAGAAGTAATTATTGAATGGCAAAACCAGAATGTGCATCCGTCCGATGCAATACAGTCGAGCTGACGTCTATATAAAAAGGTTTAAAAAATAAATAATATTAGGTGGACAGTAATATTTTATAATTCAATATACAATACAAGATGCCGCATTAGAATGTGATATACCTACCTACATGTTCTAATTAAACTTGCGATTTCCTTAAAATATTCTTATATTACTTCACTATTGAAAAAATTGTATTGTACGTTGACTTTTTCTGATTGGTTATGGTTAAAGTAATAAACAAGGAAATCGATGCTCGCGGGAAATTAAAATGCGAAGTAGCTAAGCAATAAGCTATTGTTGCAACCTAAATATTGTATTTCATATGATTTTAATAATAAAAAAAGACATGAAACGCCAGACAGAGATTTTGATGCCGAACGTGTTTTAGAAAAGACAGTTAGCAACCCTCGCCTGCATCGCATTTGCTGATATAGGAATGAGAAAACTCCTATTGTTGTGACAAGCTCAGGCGGTCAGTAAACAGAAGTGAAGTCTGTAGGTCGTATGATATTTGAATAGTGTGCTTGTCTGGATAAATAAGTCAGTTATTTGATTTCAACAAGTGACTTAGAACTTCCGCAAAACGATTCTATCTTTTTGTCCAAAGACGAGGTCGTTTTTTTCGCTGTTTTACTTACATTAACATTCGTCTAAGAATCCGTATTTTCGTCAGTCACGTTCTGCAAGAACTGACTCATTCATGAAACATGCGTTATTTCGTTGAAGAAATTAAATATATATGGCAAGGGCTAGTGTAAAACAGATTTCATTGACCGCAACTACAACACAGAAATGACTTGCATACATGGACTATACGTATTTACCACACACACCACACACAATTTCCTTCGTGAAGTTTTCCCATATACAGTATGATACTGTGTGTATTATAGCTGTTCATTCATCAGAACCGGGAAGTCCTATATCAGGACTTTTTTCAAAAATCAGTTCTACAACAATAGTTTCAGTTGTAAATTCATATAAATACAGTATAATTTTCTGGAATGTTCATTATGTAAAATTGTAAAGTCAATTTTGAGTTTCAGGATAGCTATGAAAGTTTTACAAAATAGGAATTCCATTTATAAACCGAACGGATGGCCGATAAATCTTAATTATTTCACGCAGATCAGAAGTTTAATTTTTAAGCAGCGCGCGATGACTGCGACAACTCGAACTCAACTTTTATTACAAAAATTTACAAATGACATTTAATGTTACACTTTTTATTGCATCACGCTTGATACGTTTTCGACATCACTAAATGGGAAACATTTTCTGAATGGCACACTGGATGAAGCTAAGATTGTAACATTTTATACATGGGAATCACTATCCTCATTGCATCTCAAAAAATTCCATTTGAATATTTTCTGCTCTGTTGAACCTTTTGCACTCAGCATAATTTTTTCTGTGTTTTGTTCCCATTTGTCTAATTATAATTAAATTATAGGCTCATTAAACGAGTAATTGTGAATTATATACTTGTTAGGTAATAATATAATTCAGTTTACACGTGTCTCACAATAAATTCTGTTACGTGAAGAAGATAACTGACAAAACAGCCGTTTTGTTACTATAATTCAGTGAAGCGTCGCGGGATTGAATGAGTGTAGGGTAGACATTCAAACTTGTCTCTTAATCGGATAAAACCAACTTTTCAAATTACAGTTGTGACAGGCAAACATAACATTCTTTGATTTCGTCATTCGACATTTGTGCTTGAAATTCATTCATAGCAGCTATTTCAAAATCAACACTGATTTTGGCTGGGTTAGCAGTCGGAAAAATGATTTCAACCCTTCAACATCTGCACGTACCGTATGTCTCATTTTCCGTAATAAGAAATATACGCTGGAGGGCTATAGGATGGCCCCAAGGCCGTGCACCACATCGAATGTACCATCGCCAAGATCGGTGTCAATACCGATCTACAATTGCAATCATCCTACAACGATCTTTTGAGCCATTGTTATGTGGAATGATATCCGAATATTCATTCGGAATATTAAAGCTATCTCGTATCGGATTCGTTTGAGAACAAATTTTCTATTGCCTGATTATTCGTATATATTGGCCTCAAGGGTCGACTTGCTTGGAAAGCGCATGAAAACATTTGTTGATGTTACGATTAGGTTTCTATCTTCCTTCATCGTTTGATTAAAGATCATATCAACAATCCAGTGGATGCCATAGATTCTTAAGTTTATTGATGTTTAATAGTTTATTGATGACCTTAAATTTCGCACAGATATATATATTACTGAAGTTGGAATCAATTTACGTGATATCGGTATCGTGATTTTGGTCTTCCAATTAGGTGTTGTGAAACGACAATAAGCGATTTCATAGAACCTTCTGGCAGTGTTCAGTGCCACGCGACTAAAGATTACCTCGTTTAGGTAATATATTTATATTTGTTCGTCGCTCATCGTTCATCATTCAAGTTTTTATACATAGATGACTCTGTACCAAGTTCCATTCTTACAGTCTTTCAATTGACAATTGGAAAAAACTAAATTGCGTAATTTTCGTTTTTATGCACGCTATTTATGACGACATTTCTCACAAAATTTGCATTTCTTGATTGGAAATTATTTCATCTTCCACTCCATGTCTTTCATGAGCCGTCACTAATTTATGTTTTGTGCAAACCTGTTGAAATAGATCCTGACGGCCACAGTTGTGGTAATTTTTGCAATGATAATTCTCATGTCAGCTTTCACTATAGTGCTTACATTTTACGATAGTCAACAATTTGTCTCTTACCATTATATTTTTCCCAATGGCCTCGTCGAGTATCAGAGGCGTAGCCAGAATATTTTGCGCCCGGGGCAAACTATAAAATTGGCGCTCCGACCTCCACGTTTAATCATATTTTCTACTACATTTAATTGTATATGTAGAAAACAATTCAAATTTTAATGGAACATTTTATTTAAAAAAGAAGCAAAGCTATACAAAATATATAAGCATATGCCCATAATTTCTCACTCAGTCACTGTCAAAGATGATTTACATAGTGTACAATAAATTTAATTTTCTTGATTTCATTGTCGCAAACTGGTTAATCACGTCTTCAAAATCTGTTTTTTCCAATGTTTCTCTTTCAACACTTAAAAGTTCAAGATCACTGAGACGATCCTGTCCCATTGTTGCACGCGAATAGGACAAAATAGGTTTCAATTTGCTGAAAGACCGTTCACAGCTTGCAATTGAAACTGGTATTGTTAACAAAATTTGTGGAAAATTAGCAGATGCGGGAAAACGTCGTCTCCAAAAGACACAATAAAACCAAGATGAGCCAAAGGAGTTTCTGGTTGACCTTCAGTTACTGAGCAGCATTCTGCAATCTCCAATCTTCAGTTCGTGGCCATTGATGTCCGTGTCGTAGAAATTTGCAAAATCTGTGCAATCTCGACGAATTGCATCCTCATCTGTGTTGGATAGGACTATAGGAGAGTCTTAACGTCAAGCAAAAATCCAAATTTTGTGTTTAAGTCTTTTATTGGTGAAAAACGTGTTGACATCTCCTGTTGAGGCCGATCAAATACATTCTTCATAACGCGCACAATTTTTTCTTCTGGTGAAAGTCCTGCATCTCTTTTCAGTTCTCCAGGCATTCTCTTACGTTGCCTCATTCGTCTATCCACCTGAACCCCCCAGGCTGTGCATTTTGTTTTGGCGTTTTCAACAGCAGCTTGGCTCAAATCATCACGAAGTTTAACGAATTCTTGCTCCAAAGATTCGATATCAGCTGCAGCTTCCTTTCTTTGAAGTTCATCGTAGGATTCTGTAAGCGACTCTGTACACGATCAATTTTCCCAAGAACGGTATTCCAGAATTGAAATAAAACTATGAAATTAAACTTTAGATGCAGGCCTGTAACTGCTCTGCACGACTTTAGATGTCATAGTTGAGTCTACTGGTAATTTTTCTAGGAGTTGTACCAGTTCATTCAAACCTTCAAAATAGCTTTAACAGCTTCTAATCGTGCACTCCAGCGTGTTGCAGACACTGCCGCGGGCTACCTGGAAACGTTTAGCAGCTTACCTTTATCATTTGTCGAAAACGGAATTGGGGTCTTTTAGCACATTATGATATATTTTATGTAAGTCTGCCGCAAAGTACGGTACTTTGACAACCACGAAATACAAAACCACGTATTACTCAAAACATGTATTACCAGCAATTCGCTGTTTAACATCATTCAACCAAATTCCGTTGCCTTTTGTCTCCAGCACAGAACTAATATCAACTTACATCGGAGTGCGCAGGCAAGAACTTAACGATACAGAACCACGTAATTAACCCGGTGCATTTTGTTACTTAACGTTACCAAATCAATTTTTGCTTTGTTTCCCGGCCAGCTTTTTGGGCCATGTAATTACGATGAAAATCTGACCGTGCGCGAGCTATGTGCCTGATGACGTCGGCAGTCGACGTAAGTGGTCTGACCAAGTGTGCGGTTGGCCATGTACTAAGACTAGATGTCTGCCGCCGGTGCAATCTTGCTTGTGACCGTTTTTTTACCTTTTTTGTGAAATTTTTGCAAGCCCCATTTTTGCGCCCCCGTACCTTGGCGCCCGGGGGCATATGTACCCCATTGTCCCCCCTAAGCTACGCCTCTGTCGAGTATACCAAACATTTGGCGACCACGAATGATATTATCTATTATTGAAACGAATTTCCACCATCCTGTCTCACCAAATTCATATGTAATCGCTGTGTCATTACGATTTTTCTCAAGCGTGTGTACCATATCCTCATTGCTAAGTTGTTGTGTTTACATTAAGCCATTTTTTGTTTGCAAGCGAATTCACATGTAATCAGCGAGTTGTAACATCTTTCTTTATTTACCAACTCAAAATGTGTAAACTAAAAATACGGAATATATCTCGGCTGGTACAATGGAGTATTTGGTAATAGACCGATGTTCCTTTGAATCCTTTCCTGGCTACAAAATATTGTTTGAAGTAAGTGAAATTGTATGCGTCGTTGGCGCAATGTGCTCGCCCAAGAGTTTAACCTAAAAACCATATCAAACTGACTCAAAACGAGTTGCGCGACAAAAAAAAAATGTTATGTAAACGCTGCCAAAACTATATTGTTTCGCGCGTTATCACCTTAACGCAACGCCCTGGGAGTTTTAATGGCGTTTAGGATCGGGTATGTCTTCCAGTTAGCATTGATAATGACGCTTATCTCCGTAGTAATTGAGAGTCGCTGAAACAATCGCTTGAATTTAGTTACCTACGGCTGTCACTAATAGACAGAAACGATAAATGTGAGAAATCTCTGTGTTATGCCGTTTTCCGTGTCTATTATATCTTTCTAATTCCTAATTTTGCACAAAA